AGAGACTTATTTTACACGACTAAGGCTTGTTTGTTATGAATTTTACTTTTTATTTTTACTTTTGCTTCCTGTTTTGGAGGAAGCCATATTAATTTTTATCTGAAAAGTAATTTTAAAAGAACTTTCCATTCCAAAAACTCTTTTTAGAGGAAATCACGTTGAACCAACTTCTTAGAAAAATTCTTCAATTAGAAGAAATACTTTTACAAAATTAACTAAATGGATCCAAAAATAGCTTTTGAATCTCAAAAGCTGATTTGATTTTTCAAAAATCATGACAATCCGATTCTAATTACATAAGTCAAATGAGTTTTATTTTTGAATTTTAAGCAAAATTATCACCAAGAGGGACCCAATTCTGTTGAAAAGTAAAAATATGATTACCCTATGCAAAGAGCAAAACGTAGCACGAGAAAGCTCCGTTTTCCTTGTAGATTCAACAATCAACTTCGTTACCATACAAAACCCTAAACAAAATCAATGAAAATCTTGTCATTAGTGGACCAAATCTTCGATCGAATATACTATGTGATCTTGTTAATATACTATGTATTAATATTTGCTCAATCTCTATTTAAGAATAGTAATGCCAGTTAATAATTATTTTAACATGATAAAGCAACGAATCCGCTAGATCCTAGATACTAATTGGCTACGAACTTTGTGTTATAATTGATGATAGGTTGGCATTTATCCTTATCATGCTATATGCTTTTGTGACAAATCATGATACGGCGCGTATAATAATTTTGATTAAAAGCTTGATCAGATTATAAAGATTGACTTTTAAAAAAACCCGTGATCTCGATTTGATGTGGATTACAACTAATGACTTATGACACACTAATATTAATTAGAATAAAACACTAAATTGTTCCGTAAAAATTGAAATATTGTCTACCATCAAATGTTGTCAAAACTGGACCAAATCGATCAAGAAATCAAAAACTAATTCAACTACATGAAAAAAAAGGTCTCACAAGAACAAGGCAAAAATCGGCCAATTCACAACAAGAATGGCTTATGCACCTAAAAATTTTGTCCCCTTTTAAAAATATATTTATCAGTTGCTCAACTCAGTTTAATTTCGATTCAATTTTTTGACATTTTATTTTCTCCGATCGATATTCAAAGCGATCTTTAAAAGATTGACCCCAATTTAGTTGGAAGCAAAAGCTTTCCGCACATTGTACATAACCTACAGACAAAATCAAAATAAAAAACATTAATATCTTCAATAATAATGGAAGACTTTTCTTTATAATACGTTTAGATGGGCATGGAATATCAAATATGGATTGGGAAATCTAATCCCTCATTAATTTAATAAATAGATAAATTAATCATTAACAGCTGGTTTCTTCGTTAATTAATTGTTCAATTGGATTACCAAAGAGTGGACCGCCGTGGTCCTCCCACTATCTAACACCTGTGCACTTTACTGTTACTTCAATCCATGTTCCACATTTAAATGGTCCCTGTTATGTCAATTAATTTAATTTTATAGCCGAGACACAGAATTTATAATTCTATAATCACGTTTTCGTGATACTGTCTCATTTGTAAAGGCTTACTTTCCTTATTTTTTTGTTCTAATTATATAATCATGTTTCCTTATTAAGAATATTTTATTTTGTTCATTTCTTAATACACCATTTAATTTACTTAGTTATAGCCAATTTTTCTCACTTAATCTTGAAATTGTACAAATATGAATAATGGCAAACTAGAAAAGTTTTGACAAACACTACTTTTTCAATAATATTAAATAAGATTTCTTAATTCGTGTGAAAAACAAAACTAGCTTTTATAAATGGAACGGAGGAGGTAATAAATTAAGGATTTTGCTATTCTTATATAAAAACGGTATATAAGCGATTATCGAAAATGATGTGGAGGAAAATGATTGACTGAAAAAGTTGACAAATAATAAAGTTTCATGTAGCATTATGTAATCTCTTATATAACCCTTGATGTACATGTAACAAGATTCGGGGTGATACTATACGTATATTAGGGTATCCGCCCTCCTCACATGGAGCAGACACCACTTAAAATGAAATATAATTAATCTGAAGTGGGTCACTATTCATGTGAAGGGTGAATATCGTTATGAACACTGCATTATGTACAAATAACATATTCATAAATTAATATCTCGCTAAGCATACTTTTAAATACTAACACATGCACATACATTCATGATTCATACATACATTGAGGGAAAGAAGATAACCAGGATAATTTAATTAGAATCGAGAATTGGAGCTAACTTTAATTTACTGATTCATTCAACTCCAACTGGATATGGACTGGCTAGATACCGTGAAGTGGTCCTCCCATTGGCTTGCACAGGCTAGCTCGGGAGAACAAGATTGCAATCTATTTGTTTTGCTTCCACATATTTTCGATCCAAGTCAATCAATTTTGATATGAGTAATCAGCTAAGTCCTTTCTTCAACGTGGATTAAAATCTAATTTAAAGTTAACAATTATTTTTATTGAATTCACAACTTTTCAATCACATAAT